AGTTCGTACAACGTTGGGAAGTTGCGGCGGCGCAAGGACAGCGGTTCTGTCAGCTACAGATGCAACGCCAAGCGTTGTCACAAACACATCCTGCCCCATGCGAACCACATGGTCTTCGCAACTGGGAGCGGCAGGGATTGCAAGCCGTTAGCATCGCAGGCAAAAGTTCTCTTGGGGATAACAGCTGGCTTGACAACGGCGCAGTCCCATTTATTATGGGGCCACGATGAGAAGTATGTGAGGCGCTTTGCGTCGCGGCTGGACGCTGCGCGCTCTCGATTCGTGAGGGCGCAGGAGCCAAAGATCAAATTCGGCCCCGGTGAAAATGGGACGCGGCATGACGTCGAAGCAGACGAAGTTGATTTGAACAAGGAAGTCGTGCGCACAGCGGGTGGCAATCGGGCGAAGTGGCATCAGTGGGGCGGCATCGTGCAGAGAGGTGCGCCGTCTTCGCTGGCGACGTCCAGAACGTCGCCGGAAACCGCGACATTGAGATCGCCAGGTCCTGGGCCGATCACGAAGAAAGATTGGGAACCTCAAGCGTTGAAGTGGTTAAAGGGCCGCTGCGTTTTTCTACGCGCCGACGGCGCTCGTTCCTACAAGATGGGCGCCAACAGGAAGATAACCATTGATGGAATTATCCACGACTTTGTGGTGCATAAGAAAAAGAAGATCAATTGCCAGTGGGTTCAGCCCAATTACGCACAATGTTTTCGCCACCGCATGCCCAACGGAGAAGTGATTTGCACCGAGGGTGGCACTCAGATCATCGATAGAATATGGCGCCACGTGCGTGATATAATGGGGAGCAGGTCCCCTGCATTTAATCAGCGCTCCAGGGATAATCGCATTCGCTCTGCCCAGTGGCTCTTCTGGGGCACGGGGCAAGATCTGTGGTCAAAAACTGGGCACATGTTGGCCGAGTTGGGATCCAAGCCTTAGGTTCTCTCGTCCTTGCCGCACTGTTGTTTCTGACGGGCTCCGTAACTGCCGCGGGCATCATCCGCTGCATAAAACGCGCGATCAAGGTGCCCGCGTCGTCGTCGCATAATGTATACATACATACATACATACATACATACATACATACATATATATATATATATATATATATATGGATTGTGGCCTCTTCGGGCCCTCCTGGAGGACCTCTTGGAGGCCTCTTGGGCCGTCTTCGAGGCCTCTTGGGGGCATTTTGGGCCTTTTTTAGGCCATCTGGAGGCCATCTCAGGCCGTCTTGGGTGCATCTTGAGCCGTCTTGGAAGCATGTCGGGACCATCTTAGCCGTCTTGGAGGCCATCTTGGGCGTCTTGGAGGCCTCTTGGATGCATCTTCGGGGGCCTCTTGGGGCCTTTTTGGGGGCTTCTTGGGCCGTCATGGGGCCCTTTGGGAGGCCTCGTGGGCGATTTTGGGGCGACCTTGGGGGCCTCTGGGCCGTTTTGAGGTCTTCGGAAGGCCAAAAAGAACCAAAGGCCAAAATCCACCGGAAAACCAATTGGCCTCCTCGGGCCCTCCTTGAGGACATCTCGGAGGCGTCTTGGGGGGCTCTTGGGGGCCTCTTGGGCCGCCTGGAACCATCTTGAGGCTATCTGAGGCCGTCTGGGAAGCATCTTGGGGGCATCTTGGGGCCACCTGAGCCGTCTTGGAGGCCATCTTTGCCGTCTTGGAAGCATCTTGGAGGCCATCTTGGGCCATCTTGGAGCCATCCGGGGCAGGAAAACCCTCGGCAACCACTTCTGGAAGATCCTGGGCAATCCTTTCGGGTGGCCGGCGAGACGCGCCGAAGCCCCAGGGGGAATTCTATTGGAAAAAAGATCAAAACCAAAACCGGAAGGATCGAGCACGCCAGGCACCCCTGTGATGAATCAACAGGGGGCGGCGGATCGAATGGCTTTCGGCACATCCCGCCACCGTTCCTGGGCTGCGGGCCTGATGCCGCTCGGATGGCAGATGGGGTCTCGTGGGAGGCGTCCCGGAAGGGTTTGGGACGCAGTTTTTGAACCTTTTGGGGGCCTCCTTGGGGCCTCCTCCCAACCTTCCCGTGTTGGGTTCTCGTTTTGTATAGAGCAGTGTGGTCGCCCCGTCCTCCTTCCTCCTTCCTCCTCTCCTCTCCTCCCTTCCTTCCTCTCTCCTGCGAAACTGTCGGCACTTTCGTGGGTTCCTGGGAGGCCCAGCGGAGGTACGTCATACGCGGACCACCACTATAGCTCGCGGTGCCCTGGATGGTTGCGATCTGCGAGACTGTCGGCACTTTCGGAGGTACGTCATACGCAGATCACCACTATAGTTCGCGGTGCCCTGGGGGGCTGCGATCTGCGGAATTGTCGGCACTTTCGTGGGCTCCTGGGAGGCCCAGCGGAGGTACGTCATACGCAGATCACCACTATAGCTCGCGGTGCCCTGTGGGGCTGCGATCTGCGAAACTGTCGGCACTTTCGTGGGCTCTTGGGAGGCCCAGCGGAGGTACGTCAGGTGCAGAACACCACAATAGCTCGCGGTGCCCTGGGAATCTGCGATCTGCGAAACTGTTTGCTTTGTCGTTGGCTCCTGGGAGGCCCAGCGGAGGTACGTCATACGCAGATCACCACTATAGCTCGCGGTGCCCTGGGGGTTTGCGAACTGCGAAACAGTCGGCATTTTCGTGGGCCCCTAGGAGGCCTAGCGGAGGTAAGTCATACGCAGATCACCACTATAGCTCGCAGTGCCCTGGGGGGGCTGCGATCTGCGGAATTGTCGGCACTTTCGTGGGTTCCTTGGAGGCCCAGCGGAGGTACGTCAGGTGCAAATCACCATTATAGCTCGCGGTGCCTTGGGGGGCTACGATCTGCGAAATTGTCTGCACTTTCGTGGGCTCCTGGGAGGCCCAGCGCAGGTACGTCATACGCAGATCACCATTATAGCTCGCGGTGCTCTGGGGGGCTGCGATCTGCGAAATTGTCGGCACTTTCGTGGGCTCCTGGGAGGCCCAGCGGAGGTACGTCAGGTGCAGATCACCATGATAGCTCGCGGTGCCCTGTGGGGCTGCGATCTGTGAAATTGTCAGCACTTTCGTGGGCTCTTGGGAGGCCCAGCGGAGGTACGTCAGGTACAGATCACCACTATAGCTCGTGGTGCCCTTGGAGGCTGCGATCTGCGAAACTGTCGGCACTTTGGTGGGCTCTCGGGAGGCCCAGCGGAGGTACGTCATACGCGGACCACCACAAACGCCCCTTGTGTGTCTGTTTTCTATGGTCGCCGCTGCTCTTCTTGCTGCGCTCTTCTGAAATCACTGCTGGGTGCTCTTCTTGCGCACTGCGAGTCCTTCAGAATGCCAGTCAGCACTGAGTGGTCTTGAGTACACCTGCCACATGTATAGAAAGGGTTGGGTACGTCGCAGTGTAATGTTTGTGGGTCCTCTTGGAGTTCCCTGGGGGCCTGTTGGGGCGTGTTGGGGCAACCAGTGGGCGCTTTGGGGTCGAAGGCTCGAAATGTCCGTTCGGGTTCCCCCTCTGGGTCCCTTCTTGGGGCTGTCCTGGGGCTCCCCTGGGCCATTTTGGGAGCTTTTTGAGCGGTTCTGGGGCCCTCCAAGGTCGTCTGGTGGCCCTCTTTGGGGCCTCTTGGGCTGTCTTGGAGCGATCCAGGAAGTTTTTTTTGCGCCGTCTTGGACGGTGCCAACGCACATGGACGGCGCCGACGGACAGAATGCACGTTTTCCTAAAAGGGATTGGGCGATGTTTGCTCCTTGAGGCCGTCTTGGAACGCCTCTTGCGGGCTTCTTGGGGCGTCTTGGGGGCCCTTTGGGCTGCCATGAGGCCAGCTTGGGCGTTTTGGATAGATTTTTCTGAGGCTTGTGGCCATCTTGGCCTGTTGTGGGGCCCTCTGTCCCCCCGTGATTCGTTCGGGCGGTCCCGATGGATCCCGCCATTTCAAATCGACCGTACCGGCCTCCCGGGGGAGGGGTTTGAGCAGAGGGGAGCATCTCACACGCCGATGAACCCTAAGGGGTCGGCGGATTTTGCCACAGGGGTGTCATCCTTGAACTACGCATGGCGATGCCAACGTTGCCTCGCGTCCGCTCGCGACTGGGGGAATACCACAACAGAAAATTCTGACGGCATCTCACTGCCTAGTTTGCCTCCAGCAGTACCGCGATCTACCGCAGATCCTGGGCCAGGATTGCCGCTTCGCAGGGCGCTGCTGCGTAATGGTCATCGCGAGTTGTTTCTCGCGGAATTGCAGAGGTGGCGTCCATTATTGTACCACGAGACTACAGTCACTCTTCAGCAGTGGGATCACACTGCAACCCAGCTTGCGACACAATTACGGCACTTAGCAGAGCAGAGGCGCCGTGGAGAATTTGACGAGGCGAGCGCATTGATCCTAGATTTGCAACTTGTGGCTTTGCGTGTATCGTCGCAGTTTGGAGCCAGGGGCGTAGGTATTGCGGCGTGTTGGCCAATTGTGATAAGTTTTGTCCTTGGTATTGATCCTCTTAACCATATCGTGTCCGTTTGGCCTTTATTGCGGCTTATTTCTCCGCCGTTGCCAGACATTGAAAGCCACCGTGAGTGGACCGCACGCGTGTGGACTATGATGGCGCGCCGCGTACCGTGGGTGCCTCCAGTGGCCAACTACTAGCGCTATCAGAGTCATCAATCAAGCGGCCCGCGGCAAGTCCTGCCGCTCTGCCAGCCCAACATGGTCGAGACGAAGCTGGCGCCCGATACCATCATCTACAGTGCTGGCATCTGCGCATGCGAGAAAGGTCAGCAGTGGCAGCAGGCCCTGTCGCTGCTCAGCGACATGGTCGAGACGAGGCTAGAGCCCACTGCCATCAGCTACAACGCTGGGAGGAACGTTGGCGAGAAAGGTCAGCAGTGGCAGCGTGGCAGCGGGCCATGTCGCTGCTCAGCCGCATGATCGAAACGAAACCTGTGCCGGATACCATCGTCTACAATGCTGGGATGAGCGTTTGCAAGAAAGGTTAGCAGTAGCAGCGGGCCCTGTTGCTGCTCAGCGTCATGGTCGAGACGCAGCTGGAGCCCAATACCATCATCTACAACGCTGGGATCAGTGCATGCGAGAAAGGTCGGAATTTGCAGCAGGCCCTGTCGCTGCTTGACGAGATGGTCGAGACAAAGCTGGAGTCCAGTGCTTGGATGAGCGCTTGCGTGAAAGGTCAGCAGTGGCAGCGGACCCTGTCGCTGCTTGACGAGATGGTCGAGACGAAGCTGGAGCCCACTGCCATCAGTTACAACGCTTGGATCAGCGCATGTGAGAAAGGTCAGCAGTGGCAGCGGGCCATGTCGCTGCTCAGCTGGATAGTCGAGACGAAACTTGATGTCCATACTATAATCTGCAATGCTTGGATCCGTGCTTGCAGAGAGGTCAGCAGTAGCAGCATGCCCTGTCGCTGCTCAGCGAGATGGTCGAGACGAAGATGGAGCCCGTTGTCATCAGCTATCGTTCTGGGATGAACGCTTGCGAGAAAGGTCAGCAGTGGCAGGATTTGGAGGTTGACCTTTCGTTTCCAGGCAAAACCAAGTCATACCCCGCGCCTCCACGTCACGCAGTTCGACTGTTGCGGGCCGCCCCGCGAAAGTCGTCACACATTGGACCATATTGGCCGTATTGGATGCCAGCCCGCACGACGAAGACCTTGGGGTTCTCTTAGCACCTTTGCGTCCAGAGTTGCACAGGGCCACGCGAGGATTGTTTCCCAAGGCATCCGAGTGCTGCCAGGCTTCCCTGTCCGGGGGGATCCTATGCGAAGAAAGCCCTTTGGCCCTAGCACCTTTCCGTCCAGACCCAGTTGCCTGGGCCTTTGCCCCGCCGTCTCCGGCTGATCAGTCCGCCCTGGTCCCCTGGGAGGATTCAGGTCGTACCGGCTGGTCGGGGGTTTGGGCTTGGAGCGGATGTGGATGGTCTGACTGCGGTCTGCCCTGTTCGGACAGGCTGGTTGACCCCAGGGCGGATCCTTTTTCAAGTTCCCTTTCCGCATCCACATGTGCCCCCTTTGGGCACTCCAGGTGCAAGGCGGGTCGCCTCCATTCCTCCTGCTATGCTTGGAGGCAGCTGGGGGGGTGGCGGGGCCCGCATTTCCACCAGAGCTGCCCCTACCACGGGGTGCGGATGTGGGAGCCGAACGAGGTCACGCCGCGGCTGTTCCTCATCCCGGCTGCCCTCGTGCTGCTGCCCCTGCAGCCCCCAAGGATCGCCCCCGTGGCCACCCACCAGCTTGGCTCCGCCCCGGTCCTCCCCTGGGCCCTCTCCCCCTGGCCCCTCTCCCCCGGGCGGTCCCCCCTGGCCTCGCGCCTCTTTCGTTTCGCGGCCGCTCGTCCGCCCACCTGGTCTCGCCCGGGCCCTCCCTCGGCCCTGGGCCCTCCTGGGCCCGTGCCTTTTTGTGGCTACGACTAGTCTTGTGGCGCCGAGTCTCGGGGCCTCGCCCCTGGCCCAGGGGCCCTCCTCGTTGCTTGCGCAGCTCTGCCGTGGAGCTCCGGCCTCTTCATGTCTCTGCGTGGTTCTCCCCTGGCCTCCGAGGTCTACCCCCCCCTTGGGACGGGAAACGAGACGAGGAGACATACGTAGTGAAGCAGGGCGGGCAATCAAGGTGAACACGGAGGATAAGTTATGGGACCAGGCCAAAGCAGCTGACGCGCAGGGCCAGGACAGCCGACGCGCAGGACCAAAGCCCACGCGCGCAAGGCCGAAGCCTCTACGCGCCAGGCCAAACCCTGAGCGCTTGAGGCCAACACAGAAACTGCACAGGCCAAACTCAGGAGGGGAAAGACACACACAGACACAATTAATCGTCGACCCCCAGGAGATCATGGGAAAATATGGGAAGTGGGGGGGAAGACAGAAACCGAGCAAATATTGGAAAACATGGGGAATCGTTTTATTTGTGTGTGTATTTAGTAGTGTGTCCTGGGGTTCGGCCCTGCGCGCTGCATCCGCAGATCACGGGGCCGCGCTCAGCCGCCCGTGCCGCCCCCCAAGCGTGGGCGGACACCTGAGAGGGGCGAGGGGCGTCCTCTACTTCGAGTAGCGGGTCGACTACAGACTTGATTCACCCCAAAATTGATTCTCCATCGAATCTACGACCAAGACCTAGAATGTTCAGCAATCGACTGAGACTTCTGCAAATTTTCGGGTAAATCAATCTTGGGGTAAACCAATCTTGGGGTAACTTAATTCTGTAGTCGATCCCCTACTCGACTACTGGCTTTTGGCCAATCCCGCCAACGTGCCGTGGTGTGGTGTCAGGGGGGCCCGTGGGGTGCACATCAGGGTCTCTTGGGATGCCTCCCAGGTGCCTCTTGGATAGTCATCTGGGGTCTCTTGGGGTTTCATTGAGGACCTCTTGATGGCCGCCTGGGTGCCTCTTGGGGGCTCGTCGTGGGCCTCTGGGGGGGGGTCTTGGGGCCATCTTGGGGCGGAGGGCTAGAAATGTCAGCTTGTGCGTCCCTTCTTGGAACCGTCTTGGGGGATCTGGGCTCCGTCTTGTAGGCCTCCTGGGCCGTCTTGGGATGCCTCCGGGGCTGTTTTGGTGGCCCGCTGGGGCCTGTTGGGCCGTTTTGGAGCCGCCTTGGGGGGGGGTCTCTCGGGCGTCTTGGAGCGTTGGAAGTCCGAAGCGGCGAGAACGCCAAAAGCATTCACCAACCACAGCAACACGAATTCATGCTGACTCTTGCGGCCCCCTCGGGCGGTGGTTCTCGGAGCGCTGTCGGGGCGTCTTGGGGGCCCCATCGGGCCGTCTGGAGGCCAATTCCAAACATCTTGGGGCGCTGTTGGGCCGTCTCAGAGCCCTCTTGGTGGCCGTCTTGGAGCCCGCCTCGACCGTCTTCGGGCCCGCTGGCCTCGGGAGAGGTCCGCGGCGCGCTTCGGACGTGCGGTGAATTCGGGGTTTGGGCCCCTTGCAGTCGAGGCCGATGGTGAGGAGGATGGGCCATCTCGGTGACCACATGTGAACACTACCCCCACCCCCACGATTGCTCAGGGGGGGGTGGGAGTTCATTTCGCTCGGGAGGTCCCAAGCGAAGTGAACCCCTGACCCCTCTTAGAAATCGCGGGGGGTGGAGGTAGTGTTCACATGTGGTCACCGACCATCCTTCCCAGAGGTACCCTTGCATCCGTGACTTCTCGATCCATCATTGACTACTTTCGACGGCCCGCCGCGCTCCACGAAGCTTTAAGCACGGGGGTCCAATGGGCTCGCATCCTTATCTCGGATGTTTACTTCAATTTTTTTGACTGTAGGTCCCAGGGGCTGAGGGCTCAGACTCCGAGGGCCTGAAGACAATCTATCTTGAGCCTCGAGTCACGGTAGCGGATCTCTCTCGTATCCTGGTGCATTGTCTACGGCGCATTTCTTGGTGCATTATTTATGGCGCCGGCGGCCAGAATGCGCGGAACCTACATCTGTTGTGTTTTAGTTTGTACAGCGCGCCCGCTAGACGTGATATAGGACAGTCTAGGTGAGAGGCAAATTCAATCCGTCCTCAATCCGTGAAACTCCTGCAAATGTTTAAAACGAATGCGCGCGGCGCCAAGGCGAGAGGCACATTTTGAAAACCACCCGCCCTCAATCCGTGAAGCTGGTGTTGCAATTCTTGAAACGAATGTGCGCGGCGCTAAGGCGAGAGTTACATTTTGGAAACCACCCGCCCTCCATTTGTGAAACTGGGGTCACTGTTTAAGCTTCAGACTTCAGAGTCATAAGTGGTGAGGAAGTCTCAGGCGAAACGCCCAGCCCGCCCTGAAAACTGGCTTCGGGGTGCGACAGGGATGAGTTATCTATAAGGCGGAGGAATGGAGGAGGAAGAGGAGGAGGAGGAGGAGAAGGAGGAGAAGAATTTCTGTTTGCCTCGTCACTTACATTTGGCAGCTCATCCGCCAAGTTTCGCCTGCCATGCCCCAGACCTGCAGGATACATTGGGGGACGCGGTGGGTGGAGGACATTGGGTGGGTTTGGGGATGACATTCACCAGTACTCGCGGGCCCCTAGCTGGACCCACCGTTGCGTTTACAGGCCAGCCTATCCAGGCCAGCCAACTATGCCCATCCTTTATTTACACCCACATTGTGCACAACTCATGTTTTCTTGCCTTTTAGCCTCGTCACTTACCACTGGCAGTTCTCTTCCACGTTTTCTTGCAGTACTACAGGCCTGCCGGATACTTTGAGGAGGACTACTATTTTCGTCATACCCTAAGGTTGCAATGCGTTTAAGCCAACCGCACCCTCTACCACTCTTTGTCCCTACTTTCAGCGCCTGCACCACAGTGACAGCCAGCCACTTTTTCTTGTACGGGGTGGTGGTGGGGGTCCTATCGCTGGGGGTGGTGACGTATCTTGAGGATGATACGCTCTTTCAACTCACGGGCCCCCTGCCTCCAGGGCGGGGCGGGACCCGCCGTTACACTGCAGGCCAGCCTACACCAGTCCAGCCTTCCATGCACAGTTTCTTTTAACTTCAAACTGTGCACAGCTCCTGTTTCAATACCTCTTTGCTTCGTCACCTACCTTTGGCTGCTCATCCGCCGCGTTTTTCCCGGCGGAGCCAGGTGAAATCCCGTGCCCGCCGGTGATTGACTGATTGCTTGATTGATTGATTGATTGATTGACTGACTGAACGTCAGGAGGGCACCTTGAACAACACATTTCAAACCGCAAGCGGGCGCGCAACAGCAACTGGGCGACACATTTCGACCCGTCCGCGGGCGCGCAACAGCGACCGCAACTGGGCGACACATTTCAATCCGCCCGCGGGCGCGCAACCGCAACCGCACCTGTGCGACACATTTCAACCCGCCCGCGGGCGCGCAAACGCAATCGCAACTGGGCGACACATTTCAACCCGCCCGCGGGCGCGCAACCGCAACCGCAACTGGGCGATACATTCAATTTCCCCCGCGGGCGCGCAACCGCAACCGCAACTGGGCGACACATTTCGACCCGCCCGCGGGCGCGCAACCGCAACCGCAACTGGGCGATACATTCCATTTCCCCCGCGGGCGCGCAACCGCAACCGCAACTGGGCGACACATTTCGACCCGCCCGCGGGCGCGCAACCGCAACCGCAACTGGGCGACACATTTCAACCCGCCCGCGGGCGCGCAACTGGGCGACACATTTCGATTTCATACATTTCGCCCGCGGGCGCGCAACCGCAACCGCACTGGGCGACACATCTCGACCCGCCGCGGGCGAGCAACTGCAACCGCTTGGGCGACACATTTCAATCCGCCCGCGGGCGCGCAACCGCAACCGCACCTCGGCGAAACATTTCGACCCCCGCCCGCGGGCGCGCAACAGCAACCGCAACTGGGTGACACATTTCGACCCGCCCGCGGGCGCGCAACCGCAATTACGCGACACATTTCGACCCGCCCGCGGGCGCGCAACCGCAGCCGCAAGGTGGCGACACATTTCGACCCGCCCGCGGGCGCGCAACAACAATTACAACTGGGCGATACATTCCATTCCCCCCGCGGGCGCGCAACCGCAACCGCACCGCTCATTCGCCGTCTCCAGGGGATCTGAGGTGGAGGAAGGGTGAGAGGGAGGTGTGCGGCAGGGGAGAGGGAGGAGGGAGGGGGGGGGGGGGAAATAGGGGGGAGGGAGAGGAAACGGAGGGAGGCTAGAGAGCTCACAATGATCGGGGGCGGACAACTTCTGCCCCCCCCCCCCGCTCCACGCAAGTGGATCTCCACAAGGCTCCAGACCCTGGATTCCTTATCCAAGGCCTCCGCGGTCTGCTAGCGGGATGGGTGGGTTAACCGCCCCCGAGGGGCAGACGAGGCTTTGACAGAAGCGGTCCGTTGCGCCGCCTAGTTTGAAGGTTGGGGGCGACGCCGCGGGGATCGATTGCGCGTTCACCCGCGCGCAAGCTGCCCGCGGATGTAGGTGCATCGGCGCCGTCTTATTCATGCAGCCTGCCGCGTCTTATTCATGATCTGGTGCAGGAGCAGGTGGAAGAGGAGGGGGAGGAGTACGAGGAGGAGGTAAGGGAGGAGAAGGGGCAGCAGGACGAGGAGGAGGATGATGATGAGGAGGAGGAGCAGGACGAGGAGGAGAAGGAAAACCAGGATGGCCAGGAGGAGGAGCACGATGGGGATGGGGATGCCAGGGTGGCGCTGCTTGAGAAGGTGCACGAGCAGGTGCTTGTTGTGGAGGGCGGAGGAGGATGAGGTGGTGGACGCCCCGGAGGACATGGGCGTGCAGGTGGAATCCTTCTCGCGGCCTCCCGG